CACTCCCAAAAGGGAGGCCCCCCCTTAGATACGCCCCCCCCCCGTTGGGCCTCCGCTGCTGGAGGCCCCATCCGAAGCCCCCCCCCCCCCCCCCCCCCCCCCCTTTCGCGCTCATGAAGCTACCCCCCCTCCATTCCCAAAGGGGCGGCGTGCTTGGCTGCCTCGACCCTATGGGCCCCCCCTGCCGGAAACCCCTTCCCCGCCCCCCTTCTGGGCTCAAGGGGGGGGGGGGGGGGGCGCTGGCTGATGAAGGAGCGCCGAAGACCAAAAGGGAAGCAAAAACCAACAAAGCGCCGAAAACCAAAGAGCGACTGAGAACCAAAAGGTGGCGAAAACCAGAGGCGCGCCGAAAACCGAAGGGGCGCCGACAACCCAAAGGGCGCCGAAAACCGAAGGTGCGCCGAATATCATACGAACGCCGAAAACCAAAGGAGCTCCGAAAACCAGAGGAGCGCCGAAAACCAAAGAGGCGCCGAAAGACCCAAAGGGCGCCGAAAATGGAAGGCGCGCCGAAGACCCTACGAACACCGAAAACCAAAGGAGCGCCGAAAACCAAAGGAGCGCCGAAAACCAAAAGAGCGCCGAAAAGACGAAGGGCGCCCAAAACCAAAAGGACGCCGAAAACCAAAGAGCGCCGAATACCAAAAGGGCGCCGGAAACTAAAGAGGCACCGAAAATCAAAAAGACGCCAGAAACCAAGAGGGCGCCGAAAACCAAAGGGGCGCCGAAAATCAAAAGCGAGCCGAAAACCAAAGAGCACGGACACCTAAAAAGGGTAGCCGAACTTGAAAAGGACACCGCAAACCAAAGGGGCGCCGAATACCAACAGGGCGCCGACAACCAAATGGTCGCCAAACACCAAAACGGCACCGAAAACCAAAACGATGCCGAAAACCAAGGGGGCGCCGAAAACCAAAATGGCAAGGATAACCAAATCGGCGCCAAAAACCAAAGAGTGCCGAAAACCGAAGCGGGGGCGAAAACCACAAGGGCGCCAGAAACCAAAAAGGCACCGAAACCAAAAGGGCGCTGAAAACCAATAAGGCAACGAAAACCAAATCGGCGCCGAAAACCAAAGAATGCTGAAAACCAAAGGGGGGCGAAAACCACAAGGTCGCCGGAAACCAAAAACGCGCTGAAAACCAAAAGGACACTGAAAACCAAAAGGGCGCCGACAACTAAAGGGGCGCCGACAACCAAGAGGAGGACGAAAACCTCAAAAACGCCGAACACAAGAACGAGCGCCGAAAACCAAAAATGCACCAGAAACCAACAGGGCGCCGAAACTAAAAAAGATGCCGAAAACCAAAGAGTCGCCGAAAACCAAGAGAGCGCCGAAAACCAAAGGGGCGCCGAAAACCCGAGGAGCGCCGAAAACCAAAGGGGCGCCGAAAACCAACGATGCGCCAAAAACCAAAAATGAGCAGAAAAAACCAAGAGGGCGCCGATGACCAAAAGGGCTCCGAAAACGAAACGGGCGCCGAAAACAACAGAAGCTCCGAAAACAGACAGGGCGCTGAGAACAAAGAAGGCGCCGAAAATCAAAGGGGCGTCGAAACCCGCAGGAACGCCGAAAACCAAAGGGGCTCAAGGGGCGCAGAAAAAAAGAAGGGCACCGGAAAACTAAACGCGCGCCGATAACCAAAAGAGCATCGAAAACCAAAGGGCGCCCAAAACCAAAGGGGCGCCAAAAACCAAATGGCGCAGACAACCAAAAGGGCGCCGAAAACTAAAAGGGGGGCCGAAAATCCAAAGGGCGCCTGAAACCAAGAGGGCGCCGAAAACCCAAGGGGCGCCAGAACCAAAGAGGGCGCCGAAAACCAACGATGCGCCTGAAAACCAAAGAGCGCGCAGAAAACCAAAAAGGGGCGCCGAAAACCAAAGGGGCGCCGAAAACCAAAAGGACGCCGAAAACAGAAGAAGCGCCGAAAACGGAAGGGGCGCAAAACCAAAGGGACCCCAAGGGCCCACGGGGCGCCGAAAGTCAACGAGGCACCGAAAATCAAAGAGACGCCGAAAATCACAAGTACTCCGAAAACAGACAGGGCGCTGAAGGGGGTAGCTCCGGAAGGTCCCCCCTTTGGAAAAAGGGACCTGGGCTTAAGGGAGGGGGGGGGGGGGTAGCTTCCAAATGCCCCTTCCTTAGCCAGGGGCCCCCCAGCTACACAATCCAAACGAGAGGAAGGGGGGGTGAGGCTTCGGAAGCACCCCCCCCTTTTGAAATAGAACCCCAGCTTACGCCGAGCCCCGAAAAGGGGGGGGGGGCGGGGGTAGCTTCCAAGCAGCCCCCCCACTACGCTAGGGCCCCTGAACTAAAACATGCCCACAAAAGAAGGGGAGGGGGGTGGCTTCGGAAGCCCTCGGGCTGAACTGCCCCCCCAAGATGGCATGTGAATGCGGCTTCCTCTTCAAATCTGAAAGATGCAAATCGCGCGCCCCATTTCACGACGCAGCGCCGGGGGGGCATTGAGCCCGCCTTTGCGCGGGCGCGAGCGCGAAGAGTCTGAGACGATCCTGAGAGGCTCCGGAGAAGCTCCCAAGGGGCTCCTCCGATGCTTCTGAGAGGCTGCTGAGGACGGCGCTGATCGCACCTCATGTAGCCGAATCCCACCTCCGAATCTTGCCTGCGGCGGCCGCGTTCCTGCTCCGAATCTTGCCCATCGACGTCCCGAATGGGGCTCCGAATCGCGCCGCGTCAGGGCTCCGGATCTTGCCCGTCGACGCCTCGGACGGTGCTCCGCACTGTTAAAAACAAGACCGAAGATAATTCACCCAACTTTCGCTAATGATTCGACCGATGTGAAACTGCCATCTTTCGGGGCAGCTTTCGGTGGCCTCGTCCGGTGGCATCTCGGGGGGCAAGCCCAGCGCGCGCGGGTGGCCTGTGCACTTGGGGCCCCGCGGACCCCGCGTCCAGAGCCCTCGACTCAAGGGCGCGGATCTCCTTTGATTCTGGGGCCAGGGCCCACGGGCTCCGCGGCGGGGCCCAGGCGAGTCGGGGCCCGACCATGTGCTGCGGCATCGCGAAGAGCGTCCAGCAACGCCAAAGAAACCGCGCGCAAGAACGACATCGAGCAAACAAATAAGCAACCCGGAACATAGCAAAATTCACAGACGTTTCGCTTGGGGTCCTGTTCAGCCCGATGACTTACTGCACTGAGGGCATCGCGGCGCGACGCGCGCTGCCATTGCCTGGATTTGCTGGACTGAGACTGCCACGCGGAGCATAGTCGGATGATGTCCCTGCGCGAGCTGCGCCGCCGCTGCAGCGCCGCGTTCGAGGGAGATCAGTCGATGGAGACAACTGCAAAAATACACACCGCCGTGACAAACTATTCTGCGGTTTTATGATATGTTGGAATATCATATCCCTCTGGAGATTCCTAACATTGACATGCGTCCTCCGCGATCCCGCGGAGTAATTCGTCTACCTCTAATTTAATAACATTGTTATCTCAAAACAGGATCGGAAATTACTCCGCCCATTCCTATATGAAAAATGGGACGGGATGCATGCCCACGCGGAGTAATTTCTATTCCGCCCACTCCGTTTACTCCGCCAGTCTTGGGTCATGTTGAATGAAGACCGCATAGTACTTTTGTCACGGCAATGGTGAAAAATGCGTTGCACTTCGTTTTTCCTCGGCTGCATCCACCTCAGGCTAGACCATGTATGCTCGCGCCGACAGGGATGAAGCGATGGCGTTCGTCGTCGTCGCCGTGCACCGTTTCGAGGGGGGCGCAATTCGCCATCGTTGCTGTTGCCGCAGGGTGCAAGCGCGCGTGCATCCTCTTCCCGCGCTACGTTTCCAGAAAGTACGGAAGCTGGCCATCGTGGCGACTGCCGCGACGCAGGTCGCAGGCGCGGTTCGCGGACGCGGGCCGCGTCTTACGGGTCGCTTGTCGCAGGTCGCAGGCGCGAGTCGCTAGCGCGGGTCGCGGGCCTTTGTCGTGGTCGCAGGTCGTGGCTCCGCAGGAAGCTCAGGTTGATGGGCTTGGGCGACCTGCGGAAGAAACGCCGCCCACTGGGGAAAACTGCGCACGCCGCAAGGGTGAAGCAGGTTCTGAAGACCGAGGAGGCCCAGACGGTGGCCAAGAACGTCGCAGGGCGATTCCGCAAGGCTTGCAAGCAGGTGGTGGACCGCGGCGGGGCTGCGGCCGACAATTGACTTAAAGCCCCCACCCCCTTCCATGGGAAGGGGGCTGGTGGCAGCTCGAAGCGGGGGGCCCCCCCTTCCGCGAGAAGCGTGCCGCGAGCGCGCTCTCTTTCGAAGAGGAGGCACGGCTGGTAGAGCGCGTGACCTCGCCTGGCCCTCGACCGCTGTCAAATTCGGGCGCCGACACGCTCGCCAACACCGCCGTGGTTCTGCACGACCTTCCCGCCAGGATCGTCGAGGCGGATTTCAAGGGTATGGCGTTCGGAGTTTCCACTTGCGGACCCCGAGCCCAGTTGGCACAACTCGACCGCTGTCTTCGCGCGGCTGGTCGTGCCCGGAGCGCCCAGGTCGAGCGCACGTCGCCATCGCGGTGCACCGCGCCTGCTCGCGCGAGGCCGGCCACCCGGGCCCGCCGACCCTGGACGGCGTGAGCCTGCCGCCCCGGCCCGCAGGCCCTGGGGCTCCCTGCCCCTCCCCATGGGATCTGCTCCTCCGTCGTGGGCCGCCCCCTCGTGGCCCCCGGGGCCCACACGGGGCCCACACGGGGCCTCAGAGGCCGGGCGGTGAGCAGCCGTGCGGCGGCCTCGGAGTGCCCCGGAAGACCCCGCCGCCCGCCGCCGCAGCGGTTTGGGGGACCCTGGAGGCCCCGGTCGCCCGAGACGTCCTCGGAGAACGACCCAAGGCCTCAAAGCAGTGCGGTCGCCCCGAATCCCGACTGACTCACCACACGACGTCGTCACCGCACCGTTCGGGGGGCCGTCCTCACCCCGGTCTGGGAGGTCTGGAAGTCTGGCCGTCCTCCCGCCGTGAAGCCCGAGGGCGTCTGGCCGCCGAGGCCGCGGCAAGCGTGAACACCGCCAGCATGCACAAGGCGAGCGCGCTGCTGACCTCGCCGTCCGCGGTCAGGCGCATCAGCGAAACCTCGGCGGCCCACGCATGTCCACGCCCAGCTCCTTCCCTTTCCGTCCTCCTTCCCTTTCCCTTTCCCTCCTCCTCCTCCTCCTTCTCCTCATCCTCCTCCTCCTCCACCTCGGAGCCCTGCACCTCCGCCTCGTCCTCCTGCCACTCACCCTCCTCATGGTCCTCATCTTCATACTACCTCCTTCTCTTCTTCCTCCTCCTCCTCTTCCTCCTCCTCCTCCTCTTTCTCCTCCTCCTCCTCCTCTTCCCCATCCTCATCCTCATCCTCATCCTCATCCTCATCCTCATCCTCATCATCCTCCTCCTCCTCCTCCTCCTCCTCCTCATCACCATCACCATCACCATCACCATCACCATCACCATCACCATCACCATCACCATCACCATCACCATCATCATCATCATCATCATCATCATCATCATCATCATCATCATCATCATCATCATCATCATCATCATAATCAGCATCATCATAATCAGCATCATCAGCATCATTATCATCAGCATCATCATCATCATCAGCAGCATCATCATAATCATCATCATCATAATCAGCATCATCATCATCAGCATCATCATCATCCTTCGCATCGTCATTAACACCATCACCACTATCATTATCATCAGCAGGATCATCAGCATCATAATAATCATCATCACTGATCATGTGCATTACAAACACTAGCAGCAGCACTATCACCATCACAATCACCACAACCATCACCATCGACATCGGAAAGAGCGTGTTCTACCGCTGCTTGCAGAAAACCGGGGGGGGTCACAGGGGGGTCCCAACCCGTCCCCCCCCTTCGAAAACCGGGGGGGGGGTCACTACTGGCTCGAACCCCCCCCCTCCCCTCCTCCGCCGTCCATCATGACAAGGGGGGGTCACTACGGGTTGTGACCCCCCCTATCTCGCCGCCGGCAACCGATTGACGCTCCTCGGGAAAGTGGGGCAGTGGCGGGGACAGTGGGACAGTGGTGAGGACGGTGGTGGTGGGGACAGTGGTGTGGGGACAGTGGGACAGTTGTGGGGACAGTGGGACAGTGGTGCGGACGGTGGTGGTGGGGACAGTGGTGAGGGGACAGCGGGACAGTGGTGGGGACAGTGAGGACACTGGGACAGTGGCGCGGACGGTAGTGGTGGGGACAGTGGTGAAGGCGGTGGTGAGGACGGTGGTGGGACAGTGGTACAGTGAGGAGAGTGGTGGGGACAGTGGGGACAGTGGGACAGTGGTGGGGAAGTGGGGACAGTGGGACAGCACAGTGGGACAGCACAGTGGGACAGCGGCGGGGACAGTGGGGAAAGTGGGACATTGATGGGAACAGTGGGGTTCAATGGTGGGGACAGTGGGGACAATGGGGACAATGGGGAGAGTGAGACCGTGGTGGGACATTGGTGGGAACAGCGGGGACAATGAGACACTGGTGGGGGCACTGGTGGGGACAGCAGGGACAATGGTGGGAACAGTGAGGACACTGGGACAGTTGTGGGACAGTGGGACAGTGGTGAGGACGGTGGTGGTGGGGACAGTGGTGTGGGGACTGGGACAGTTGTGGGGACAGTGGGACAGTGGTGGGGACGGTGGTGGTGGGGACAGTGGTGAGGGGACAGCGGGACAGTGGTGGGGACGGGACAGTGGGGACAGTGGGACAGTGGTGCGGACGGTAGTGATGGGGACAGTGGTGAAGGCGATGGTGAGGACGGTGGTGGGACAGTGGTACAGTGAGGAGAGTGGTGGGGACAGTGGTGACAGTGGGAGAGTGGTGGGGACAGTGGGGACAGTGGGACAGCACAGTGGGGCAGCACAGTGGGACAGCGGCGGGGACAGTGGGGACAGTGGGACAGTGGTGGGAACAGTGGGGACAGTGGTGGGGACAGTGGGGACAATGGGGAGAGTGGGACCGTGGTGGGACATTGGTGGGAACAGGGGGGACAGTGAGCCACTGGTGGGGGCACTGGTGGGGACAGCGGGGACAATGGTGGGAACAGTGAGGAAACTGGGACAGTTGTGGGGACAGTGGGACAGGTGGTGGGGACGGTGGTGGTGGGGACAGTGGTGTGGGGACAGTGGGACAGTGGTGGGGACGGTGGTGGTGGGGACAGTGGTGAGGGCGGTGGTGAGGACGGTGGTGGGACAATGGGACAGGGGTACAGTGGGGACAGTGGTGGGGACAGTGGGGACAGTGGTGGGAACAGTGGGACAGCTCAGTGGGACAGCGACAGGGACAGTGGGACAGCGGGGACAGTGGGGACAGTAGGACAGTGGTGGGGACTGCGGGGAAAGTGGAAGGAGTGGGACGGAGGTGGGAGCAGTGGTGGGGACGGTGGGGACGGTGCGACAGTGGTGGGGGCACTGGTGGGGACATTGGGGCGGTGGTGGGGACAGTGGGGACAGTGGTGGTGGGGACGGTGGTGCTGGGGACAGCGGTGGGAGATGTGGTGCGGAATGTGGTGGGACCCGGGAATCGTTTGCCGGCGGTGAGGGGGGGGGTTCGAACCGGTAATGACCCCCCCCGGTTTTCCGGAGGGGGGGGATGGGGGGTTGGGGTGGGGGGATTGGGGTGGGGTTTGCCGTGGGAAGGGGGGGGAGGGGCAGGAGGGGGGGGATTTTCGAAGGGGGAAGGACCCCCGGGTTCCGGAGGAAGAGGGAGGGGAATTTTCCACAGTAAAGCGGCGGTGGATCACGCTCTCTCCGAATCGCCATCACCATCACCATACCATCATCACTACCATCATCACATCTCACAGTCATCCTCAAGCCTCATCCTCTTCCTCATCATCCTCACCTGCCCGTTTCTGCTCCTTCAATTTCTACTCCTTCTCCTCCATGTCCAACCCCCTCCGCCTCCAACTCAATCCCTCCTCCTCGTCCTCCTCCCCCTCCTCCTCCTCTTCACCACCATTACCATCATCGTGATCATCATGATCATCAGCAGCATCAGCATCAGCATCAGCATCAGCATCAGCATCAGCATCAGCATCAGCATCAGCATCAGCATCAGCATCATCACCACCATCCCAATCCCCATCCCAATCCTCACCATCACCATCACCATCACCATCGCCATCCTCATCATCATCATCATCATCATCATCATCAAAATCATATCAGCATCAGATCATCACTATCAGCAGCGTCTGCATCAACATCAGCATCAGCATCATCATCATCAATGTCATCGTCATCATCGTTCTCACCAGCATCGTCGTTATCGTCATCATCATCATCATCATCATCATCATCATCATCATCATCATCATCATCATCATAATCATAATCAGCTTCGAACATCGTCATCATCATAATCCTCATCAGCATCATCATCATCATCATCATCATCATCATCATCATCATTACCATCGCCATCAGTATCATCATCCTCATCATCATCAGCATCAGACGCATCAGCACCATCAGCAGCATCAGCATCCTCATCCTCAGCCTCAGCCTCAGCATCGGCATCAGCATCGGCATCAGCAGCAGCATCATCATCATCATCAGCATCAGCATCAGCATCAGCATCATCATCATCATCATCATCATCATCATCATAAGCATCATCAGCATCGTCATCATAATCATCATCATCAGCAGCATCATCATCATCACCGCCATCATCAGCAGCAGCAACATCATCATAGTTATCATCATCAACACCATCAGCAGCATCATCATCATCAGCCTCACCATCACCATCACCATCACCATCACCATCACCATCATCATCATCATCATCATCATCATCATCATCATCATCATCATCATCATCATCATCATCATCATCATCATCATCATCATCATCATCCGAGTCCTCTCCCTCCTCCCCCTCCTCCTTCATCTGCCCCTGCTCCTCCTCATCATTCCTCTCCTCCTGGTCCCCTCATCCTCCTCCTCCGCCTTATCCTCCTCCTCCTCCTCCTCCTCCTCCTCCTCCTCGGTCCCGTCCTCGTCCTCGTCCTCGTCCTCGTCCTCGTCCTCGTCCTCGTCCTCGTCCTCCTCCTCCTCCCCTCCCCTCCTCCTCCTCCTTCCTCCCTCCTCCCTCCTCCCCCTCCTCCTCCTCCTCTCTCGCTCGCTCTGCCCCCCTCGTGCCGATGGCTACCCGCAACCTAGAGGGCCACACGGGGCGCTGGTAAGGTAATGCCACGTTCGCACTCTCGATAAGCACCCTCGCAAGCACCTGCAATACGATGGTTAGGGCGTCTGGGGCGACACCAGCACTTCCTCCTTTCAGGGGGGCGTAAGACCCGGGTACAGGGGACTCGGAAATCCCCGACGAGGTCGTCAAAAAAATGACGAGGCCGAGCCTGCATTTTGACGAGGCCTCCCGCTGCAGACATCCCACGAAACTCCTCCTCGTCAAAATCCGAGGCGCGGTCGTCAAAAAACGGTGGCGAACCCGAGTCCCGGCAAACCCGGGTCTTACGCTCCCCCGATACGATGGTTAGGGCGTCTGGGGCGACACCAGCACTTCCTCCTTGAATCGGCATACCAAGAAAGCCTCCCTGATCCTCTCTCCCTCCTCCTCACCCCTCATCGCCGCTGCCCCGTTTGCATCGGCCATCTGGCTGCCCCGATACGCGTGCCTCTTTCCAGCCATTCACGCATGTCGGGGCTAACCCCGCGGGGTCTATCGGTCCTCATCCCACGAATCATGTTGGTTAGGAGCCGTAAGGGCTGGCTATGGGGAAGAGGATCGATCCTCAAACGACCCCCTGCGACCGCACTGGAGTTGGGTACTGGTTGGCACCGTGCAGTCCCAAATGCTGACGTCGGAGTGGAGCAGCTGCGGGAGCTGCAGCGCGTCGATCACCGGCTTCACCGACTTGGGGATGTGGCCGTAGGGCGGGTAGAGCTTATCCTCCCAGAAAAGAATGAGGAAACACTCCTGTATTACATGAACCGGAGGACGAACGAGGA